CTCCCCCAAACCCAACCCCCCCCCCCCCCCCCCAGTCTTCTCCCTTCCGGCTGGTGGCCAACGACACCCACACGCTCAGTGCTAGACCAGCACATTTTGGGGACAGAAAAAGCCGAGGGTAATAAGGGGGCCAATGCCTACTCTCATCCCAGCCTAAGTGCACCAAGGAAGCCAGACACGACTCAGAAAGAAAGCTGTCTCATCTCCGGGCCAGAATCCAACACCTCTGGCCAGCCTGGAGAAGTGGATGCTCCGAGAAGACAGGAAGGAGCACCAGAGCAACAATACCCATAGCAGCGCCCTATGACAGGGCCCTGCACCCCAAGGGGAAAGCCCCCACCCCGCTGCACAGCAACTTTGCAAGAAGGGGTTGTATGGTTTGGGGAGTGCTGAGCCCCCCTGCCCCTGAGGAGCTCTGGGTTAATAAGTGCTGGCTCTAGTCTCACCTCCCCCACACACTCCTTGGGGCCTTCTCCATACCCACCCCCGGCCCCAAGAGCCCTTCTCTCCTAGGCTCTGCCCATTGCGTGCCCTTGACCCTGGAGACTTCCTGAGACACTCCCCCAGGACTTAGCCCAATAAAGGTGAGGCCACTTGGGACCCCCAAGAGTCTTTGGGGGAGAGGTGGGGGCTCCAGGGAGCCAGCAGAGGACTATGAAGGGTATGGGGGTAACATTACCTCCGGCTCTTAGGAGATGGAGAGAGCCCAATATTTTACACACTCCCTCAAGCGAGGCCCCTCTCCACTCTAAACGGTAGCCAAAATGTAGGTGCCTCCTTCCCTCACACACACGCAGCAAGAGGCAAGCAATTGTTCGGAGAAAGGCGGGACCCCAGGGGGCAGGGTCACATCACCCTTTGGGCCACCGAGCTGCTTGCTGGCTGAGGTTGCGGCTGGGCTGGGAGGACCAACCTCAAGCAGCGCCCAGGAGAAGAGCACACCACCGCTGTGCCATCCCTGCCCTACGCAGCAGGGGGAGCAAACAGCTCCGTGGCTCAATTCCCTCTTCCAACGCCTAAGGGGTCTCCGGATGGACGCTGGGCAAGACCAGGAAGAAGAGAGCGATCCTGCCCAGCTGTGGCCAGCGCTTGGACTCTCTGAGAGGGCTGAATTGGCTCCCCTTCCCGTGTTCTCACACCTCCCCCAGCTGAGGCTCTGGGCCCTGCCCACGCTACAACCGCATCTAGGGGCAGCCCAGGCTCTCGTGGTGGGGGAAGGGTCGCGGGATGCGCTCCACCCCCTTTCCCCTACCTGCTTGGCCCTTAACTCCGGTACCTGGGGCCCTCAGCCGACCTAGCTTTGGAGCTGCCGCCACACCCGACCCCGGCGGCTTCCGGGTGTCCCCATGCCCTGCCCTGCGGCGCTGGGGCGCACGTGCACCCCAGCAGGCCGATACACAGGCCGCCGCCACCCATGCAAACCCGTGTATGCAAGTACGTGCCTGGCCCATATCTGCACACACGCCCCTCCAGAACTGCGTTCTCCCCTCGTTCGGGCCCCCGCGCACCCAGCCCCACGGACCGACACCCAAAGACTGGCGGGAGGGCGGGGGCAAGGGGCGGCCCGGCAGCAGAGTCCGGGCAGCCACCGCCTCGGGGCGATCCCGCCAGCCTGGGCTGCGGCCAGAGGGTGAGTCAAGCCGTAGCGAGGAAACCGCAGGGCCGTCCCATCCCAGTAGGGCGCGTCCAGGGCCCCGCGGCGCCTCAGTGCCAGACGCCCCCCAGGCCAGCCCCCCGCCGCTCCCTCATCTCCGCCCGGGCAGTCCACGTGAGCCGGGCCCCGCGGGAGGCCCGAGGGCTCGGCCTGAGCTCCTCTTCGCCAGCCCCACGCCGGAGGATCGGGTGCCGGGGCCCCGCCGTGGCTCCAGAGAGCTACCAGGCCCCGGGGGCCTCGAAGTCCGGGGAAAGTTGTGGCAGCGGCGCGACCCCTGCCCCGCAGCCCGCCAGCCGGGGGGTCGCTGCAGCCAGGAGCCACGCCACCTCAGCCCAGGCCCAGCGCGCTCCATCCCCGGGCCGGCCGGCAGGGGCGCCCTGGGGCAGCGCCACCCGCCCCTTCCCCACGCGCCGCCCGCAAACTCGGCCCAAGTTTCCGCGCCCGCCGAGTGGGCGAGCTCCTACCTGCAGGGCACCGGGGTTCCCGCTGCTGCTGCCCGGGGCCGCGGCCGCATCCTCCAGCGCCGCCGAGGCCGCGGGTCCTTGTCCTGCCGGGCCCTGCACGGGAAGTCGCGGTGAGCACCGAGCCCGGAGACACCCTCCTCGCTGCCTTTCGCGCCGCCGCCGGGCGCCGTCTGCGGTCCCAGGCGGGGCGGGCTGGGGGCGGAGCGGGGGCGGGGCGGCCCGCGCGGTTGGGGCAGAGCCCGGCCGCGCCTCTGGGAGCTTGCGCTCCCCTGAGCCCCGGGGTGCGAAAGGCCTGCCTCTGCCAGCGCTCTGGGGACCGGGCCGCGGGCGCTGTGCACAGTCTGTACCCACCGCACTCTGCGAACCATCGCCTGGCGCGCCCATCCCGCGCCTTCATTCAGTTACTCCGTTAGATCATTCATTCAGTGTCACTTTCTAGCTATGCGGCCTTGCGCCCGCCACTTGACCTCATAATCTTTAGTTTCCTTATTTTAGTAAAACTGGGATTATATCATAGTGGTTGTGTCGTAAGGCTTAGAAGAGTTTGTATTAAAATATCTGGCTCTCAAAAATATAAAATAAAGGGCTTCCCTGGTGGCGCAGTGGTTGAGAGTCCGCCTGCAGATGCAGGGGACGTGGGTTTGTGACCCCGTCCTGGAGGATCCCACATGCCGCGGAGCGGCTGGGCCCGTGAGCCATGGCCGCTGAGCCTGAGCGTCCGGAGCCTGTGCTCTGCAACGGGAGAGGCCATAACAGTGAGAGGCCCGCGTACTGCAAAAAAATAAAAAATAAAAAATAAAATAAAATAAAATATCTGGCTCTCTTGGGCTAGTACAGTTGCATTAGGAGGCTGGAGAAGGGCTCCTTAGTCTGTTCCCTCATCTCGGTGCAGCCAGTGAGGGCAAATTCCAAACAAATGTATCTCAACTCCTGTTAGGGCACCATACCTATCTGAGGAAGGGGTGATTTCCCCATCTCTGGAGTTAGCCAGGAGTGAGGATGCTGGGAGGTTTGTTAAGTGGCCTCTGAACCTTTAGGACAAATCTCCCTCAGTAAGACAAGCCTGAGCACTGTGTAGCCTGGGAGGTGGGATGAGGTGGAGCATCCCCAGCCAGGAATGGTCTGTTACCAAGAGAGGGGCTGGAGTGGTGGAAGGGCTTTTTCTCTATTTGCCCTCTCTGGGCCAACTGATGTTGGATGAGAAGCCCCTTGGTGCTGCTACCTTCTCTGAAAAACCTGGTCCCTCACATTTCCTGGGCTTCCCAAGGACTGGGGACAGGTGTGTGCAGTAGAGGGAGGGGACAGGTGAACATGCCAAAGGTCAGAGCAAGTTCATGGGGCAAAACCACCCAGGCCACTTGCTCAGATCCCAAAGGTCAGGCCTGCCTGAGTCAAAGGGCAGAGCAAGCATAAGGCCACAGG